GTGTGTGTGTGTGTGTGTGTGTGTGTGTGTGTGTGTGTGTGTGTGTGTGTGTGCGTGTACAGTGCCTACTGAGAGGTCTTGGAATCCAGACCCAGAATGTTCACATTGGAGATTGGAGGGGATCTTCAAACTGATGAGGGTGAAAGTAAAAAATTAATGAGAACTGCTGTTTCCAAATGAAATTTGGCGGAAATTCAAATTAAAGAGAAAGCTGAGCCTATAGGTGCCATCCTACCATACAGGCTCCTCAGGACCTAAGACAGGGGGTTTCAAAGATCAAGGTCTGTTCTGCCTGGTCAATTCAAGGAGATCCTGTCTCAAAATTAAAAGTGAAAACAGGACTGAAGTGTGGCTCAGTGGTAGAGCACCTGCCTAGAATCCCCCAGTGAGGGGCTGGGGTGTGGCTCAGTGGTAGAGCTCCTGCCTAGAATCCCCCAGTGAGGGGCTGGGGTGTGGCTCAGTGGTAGAGCCCCTGCTTACTGGTAGAGTTCGTGGCTCCCACCATGACATACAGGGGAGAGAGAAGCTAACATTTCTCATAATTTTAGGCTGGAACAGAGATGTGGCAAGAAGGCAAACAAATTCAACATGGGAAGAGCAGATGGAATCGAGGTCAGTGTTCGCTGGCCCAGCACAGTGCCCCACAGATACTGGAGGCTCCCACCCCCTGGCCCTTCAGGTCGTACTTGATAGTGTTGTCCTTTTCCTTGCACTGTTGCTCCAGCCTGAAGATCCTTTGCTTGAGCCCGGTGATGACCTGCCAGCAGAGGGCCACCACCTCAGAACAGCGTCCCACCGAGGGCTCAGCTTGCCTGGTCCCCAGGATATCTGGGTGTCCCCTCCTAGACAACCCTACAGACTCTGAGCTTTTTTCTACTAGGATTCTTACACAAACACCCTCTCCTTTCTTCCTTAGCACAACCCCAGTGATGACTAGGGGCTCCAACTTGCTCTCTGAGTAGTGCTGAGTACATGACTGGGAGAGCAAGGCCACAGGGCAGAGCTCCCTGGAACCCACATGGGGAGAACGGGCTCCTGCAAACTGGTCTCTGACGTCTGCACGCATACCCTGGTATGGGAGCACCCCCTCCAAAAAGACAGACAAGCATGAAGATATTTTTCTATTAACAAAAGCATGTTTGAGGTTGGCTTTACAAACTGCCGACCCGGGCAGCTCTCTAATCGTCCCTGGGTGAGTGAGTCTATCAAGAGCAGTACGACAGAGCAGGCGCTGCTGCACAGATCAGGGCTTACCAGCCTTACCCCGCTGCTTTGAGTACTCCTGTGTTTTAGCTAGGCCTTGCCAAATTTGATTTGAACCACCCTTGCTAATCTTGTTGCTTCATGGCGTATGGCTTTCCTCGGAGTAGTTTAAAATAGTTCCCTTTCCTCCCAGCATATAGCGCTGCTGAGATGCAAGGCCAAGTCTCCTACAACTACCATCCCTGCCTTCCCCGAGCCAGGAGGCGGCAGGGAGGGGCCAGGCTGGGTAAGCCTCACCACCTCACTTTTAAAGCTGAGGACTGGGGACTGCGGAGGGGGCTCAGGAGTTCGAGTGGTCACAAAGCATGAGAACCTAGATTTGGATCCCCTGCCCCACATAAGAAGCCAATCATCTCACTGTCACCTCAACACTGGGGAGGTGGAGACACCAGCACTCAGGCATTCCTGGCTCGCTGGCACGCACACATGCACGCACACAAATCCCTCTTGCAAAAGATGAGATGAGGTCACATACATGTGCACAAGTTGGGGATTTGTTGTTTTCTAAAAGACATTTTCTTATCCTGGCAATGATGGTGCGTGCCTTTAATCTCAGCACTCAGGAGGCAGAGACAAGTGGATGTCCTCGAGTTCCTGGCCCACCTGGTCTACAGAGCGAGTTCCAGAACAGCCAGGGCTACACAGAGAAACCTGTCTCAAAAATAACAAACCAAACCAAACACAAGGCATTTTCCTTAGCCAGCAGCAGCATGTGCCTGTGGTCCCAGCACTTGAGAGGCTGAAGCTTGAGTATTGCTTGGGACCAAGTCCTAGGCCAACTGGAGGAACCCAGCAAGACCTGTTTCCTATCGAAGGAAACAGGTTCTTTCTTGTGCCCATATGCTTATCATTCAAAGGTATTCGTTTGGTGTTGAATTTGTGTCCCAGACACAGGACACCTTCAGTCACTTATGGTAAATGTACATTTCTGTATCATGTGTTATACACCTGCTATTTTTCAGACCTTTAAAATATTTTTATTACATTTATTAATGCTAGGGGTTGGGTGGGGAGTTGGTGCCATGGCCCTTGTGGAGATCAGAGGACACTTTTAGGCTGAATTCTCCTTCCACCACAGGGTTCTGAGGATGAAACTCGGGTCAGTAGGCGTGGTGGTAAGTGTCTCGACGCCAGGCTGGCTGGTCCTGTCTCACAGACTTTATATCTGCAAAGTCTTTAGGGATCACCAGATATTTTGCATATTCCTAACAGATATAGCAGAAGTCTCCCCGTCTGTGGCATTCCCTCAGTTCCTCTTTCACTCTTTCCTCCCCAGCCCCAAGACCGGGTTTCTCTGTGTAGCCTTGGCTGCCTTGGGCTCCTTTTATAGACGAGGCGATGAGGCTGAACTCAAACTCCCAGAGATCCACCTGCCTCTGCCTCCCCAAGTGCGTGCACCACTGGCTCCTCTTCTAGTTTTAAGGCTTTACTATATATTTCTTCATGCCACCAAACCCATTAACCCCTTGTTACCTTATTCCTTGTACTTCCTTGACTCATACTCCTACCCCACCCCTGTTTTAAAGCAGAAACTGTGTTTGGATGTAATCCCCAGCATACACTGGGACTGTGATGTTTGGGTGGGGTCTTTTTTGTTTGTTTGTTTTGTATTTTGAGACAGGGTCTCATGTAGCCCATGCTAGCCTGTGACTCTGTGTAGCAGAGGCTGGTCTTGAACTCCAGGTGGCTTCTTCTGTTTATTTAGTTTTAATTATTAAACCTGTGTTTCCTCCTGGCGCTGTTCTGTAAACTGAAGCTAACGGTTCCACAAACTCTCACCCTCAGGCCTCACTGAGACTGCCTGACAGTGATCTACCTTTTCTTAGCCTATGCTAACCCTGTGGGCCCCTGAAACACCATCCTGTGATCCCTATGGCTCTATGAACAATTCTGGAGAGTTCTAAGCCCATGCCCCTTCCCACAGTTCTGTGATCCAGCGGAAGGGTCTCCTTCAGCAGGAGCCTCTACTCACCCAACCAGCATCAGGCCTTTTCTCTGCCAGGGTCCGCACGAAGTCTGAGCCCTGTGGGAGGCAGGTGGAGACATGAGGCCCAGGGTGGGTCTCCCCCACTGCCCTCAGCGGGGAGCCTCTGTGGGCCCCAGGACTTACTCGCCCTGGATCCAAAAGCTGCTCTATCTGCCGATCCTTTCTGCTATTCTCCTCTTCCAAGCGCCGGAGTTTTGTTCTCATCAGATCCACATCACTTTTCTGCATGTGTAAGGACTAGAGAGGAAAAGGAGCGTGGGGCTGGCAAGATGGCTGAGCAGGTAAAGGGGCTTGACACCAAGCCTGATGATCTGAGTTCAATTCCCAGGACACGTGTACACACACACACACACACACACACACACACTAAAAGGAGAGAACCATCTTCCCCAAGTTAGTCTCTGGCCTTTATGCACACACAAAATAAATAAATATAAAAACAACATAAAACAAAGAAACCCCACCCACCCACCCAACCAGCCGAATGAAAACAAAAGGAGGCCACACATTCACACAAGGTCTGCATGTACAAGTGAGTCCCTGAGTTTGGGGGGGGTCTCTTCTCCTCACCCCCTTTTCTTTAGAGTCTTACTCTGCAACTCAGGCCAGCCTAGATCTTTCAGCAATCCTCCTGCCTCAGCCTCCTAACTGGTAGAATTACAGCCACACTTGACTTTAAAAGAGTTTTTAAAGCCCTGAGTGTCATGGGGGCTGGAGAGATCGCTTGGTGGTTAAGAGCACTAGCTGCTCTCCCAGAGGTTCTGGGTTCAATTCTTAGCACCGATATGGCAGCTCACAACCTTCTGTGGGATCTGATGTCCTCTTCTGGTCTACAGATGTACGTGCAAAACACTAATATACATTGTTGGAGCTGATGCTTGTATTCTGATGCATAACTGCCCTCAAGATCTGGTTACTGCCTGGATACATCTATCCTTGTGTAAACCTACCTGACCGGCTGATTAAATGGCCTATACCTGTGCAGGGCAGAGTGGGGCAGGCATGGCTAAGGTTCCTGGGCTTTCGAGAAGAAGAGAATCAAGGGAAACAGACAGATGAGAAGAGAGGAGGAGGACGCCATGAGGATTAGAGGACTGGGAGAAAGGACTCCAAGGATAGCGTGGATGGAAAAAAAGCACCAAACTAAGCAAGTATTCATAAGACTATGGACACCAAACTAAGCAAGTATTCATAAGACTATGGACGGAGAGCAGCCCAGGTAAGGATGGTTAAGGAGGATGGCATTGGATGGGGGCTGGGAGATGATGGTGAGGTTATTAAGACAGCGTAGGTAGAAATGTCTGCTTGGCCCAAGGTAAATAAGGCAATTATAAAATTTAACAGGTGTCTGTGTCTTATTAATTGTGATAGCAGTCTAAATAATACTGCAAATAATAGGCGGCTATTTTTAGGGCAAAAAATAAATATTACATAGCCCAACACCCACATTTTTTATCACTAACAACAATACATAAAATAAATAAATCTTTAGGAAAAAAAATCACTGGCATCCAAGGCTACAAAGGAAATCCTTGTACCAACAAAACAAAGCAACCCCTTGTGTGGAGATCTGGCAGGGTGCGGAGGCTAATCCCAGCAGTGTGGGGTTATGCGCGGGAAATGCCGTGCACCCGGACAGCTGAGAAATCCTTTAAAGCCAGGAACTCTTCCCGGGGCTTCCATCTGCTACACAACACACACTGATGCTCCTTCGAAATACTCCAGCCACAGAGCGGGAGAGACGGCCCAGCAGTCAAGAGCACCGTCTGCTGTCACAAAGGACCTCAGCTGGGTTCTCGGCACCCCCAGGGGGTGACCCCAAATTGTCTATCGCTCCAGCTCTAGTGGATCCAATGCCTTCTGGCTTCCACAGGCATCTCTACACTCATGCACATAGGCAAACAGACTCTGGCGTGGGCGTGAGTGCATGTGTGTGTGTGTGTCAGGTACATGAACCTGCACATTCATGCACATGTGCCACACGCTATATATGCATGTATGTATGTTCGTACGTATGTGTGTATGCATGCATGTATATAACTATTTATAACAGATGACTTGGTAGATAGATGAGAAAAAGATTAGATATGGATGACCAATGTCATTCCAGCATATTAAAATTAATCCGCACCATGGAAGCTACCAGGACTCCTGTTGAAGTGAGCCCCTGCGGGCGCCTTGCCTGCCCCGGGGAGCTCTCGGGCGGTGGTTGGAAGGCTTGGCCCTTCCCAGGCAGGCGTGGGCTTTCCTCCCAGGTAGCCTGGAAGGAGGATTTGTGGAAGGTGCAGAGCTGAAGGCTGAGGGATGAGCCGGGTTCCTCTCTGTGGCCCTCAGGCTCCTCCGGTACTCTCTCTCTCACACAGATACACACACTCATCATTTAAACAAACAAACAAACAAAGGAATAGCAGTCCTCAGCTGTGTCTGGGCAGAGATGCTCCCAATATACACCTATGGATGGGTTTTCTTACCAAGCTTTGGTAGGCCAAGAGAAAACAAATCCTGCAGTCACTCTTATTTGTTTGTTTGGGTTTTTTTTTTTTCAATTTTGAGATTGAGTCTAGGGCTTTAAGTGTATTCAGCCGGCACTCTACTGCAAAAACACGCCCCCAAGCCCTGCATTGACTCTAGGCAAGAACCCTATCACTGAGCCACACCCCAGCCCCTCACTGGGGGATTCTAGGCAGGTGCTCTACCACTGAGCCACACCCCAGCCCCTCACTGGGGGATTCTAGGCAGGTGCTCTACCACTGAGCCACACCCCAGCCCCTCACTGGGGGATTCTAGGCAGGGGTTCTACCACTGAGCCACACCCCCAACCTCTCACCAGGGGACTGACTCTCCACAGCACTCTGTTGCTCTGTGATGGAACACTAGGCCACACACATTCTGAAAAGTACTCTACTACTATGTTTCCAACTCTATTCCTGCAGTTCTCCAAAGCCTTACAACGATAAGTTTGAATAGTCAGGGTCATTTTTCCAGAAGCCTATTTCTAGCCCAAAAGTATGGCTCCCAGGTACCACCTGTAACAGCAACTCATTGCTGAGGGCTCCCCATCCTCTTAGCCTTCCAGGCAGAGTGAGAACCCCTCTACACTGCTTCCGATGGCAGCCCGGCCTCAGCTGGCAGAGCCCAAGGAGGGGCTGCTTTACAGCTGGCTAATCTGCATTTTGGAAACAGGGTCTCACATACCCGTGGTCACGCATGTGTGCTGGCCTTGAGCTCTCCTCTCTCCTGCCTCCTCCGTGCTGGGATGACCAGCACACACCGCCATGCCTGGCAAGCCCACTGCCTCCTCTACAGTTGGTAGACAGGCTCTCCCCTTCGCTGCCATAGTGTGGTGCTAGAGCATGGATACATGACTGACAATTGCCAGCACGACACTGACTTTCAGTTACGTTAGAGAAAGGCTAGCCCTGCCGATCAGAAAGGACCCTACCTTCTTCAACTCAATGATTTCATCATACATGTCCTCCTTCTCTCTGTACACAGAAGTCCCAGAGCCGTGACCTGCAGGAAGAAATGTGACACACCTCTTAGGACCTCGGGGGACAGTAGAAAGGACCTGGGGTTATACCTGAGGGGAAACTGGAAAGTAAATAAAACTATACTTATTTGCTTGTTTGTTTTCTAAAATAGATGAGTCTCACTGTATAACTGGATTTCCTGGAGTTCAGGATGTCCTGCATCAGCCTTCTGAGGGCTGAGGAGACATGGGAGTGTCCTCCAGCCTAGCTTACTGAGGATGTGAGTGTGTGAGTGTACGTGTCTGTACGTGTCTGTGTATACAGCTATGTGTACTGTGATCCTGTGTTCACAGGGAGACCAGACATCGGGAGTCCTGCTCCCTCCTGCCTGATTCCCTCGACACAGGGTCTCTCATTAACCTAAAGCTGGGCTGGTAGCCAGCAAGCCCTAGTGAGTTAGTGCCGGGGGCTACAGAATCACACCTGGCTCTTACTGCAAGCCATCTCTCCACTTAGCAGGTTATAAATCTGAAATATGCAAATAAGTCTAAACTGTAACCCTAATCAGTAAATTTGGGTCTGAGGGACATTGAGCCAGCTGTCACCATGTCTCCTTACTAGGACCCAGAGAGACTCACAGGCCCCATGGGAAAAACTAGTAAGAAACTCAGAAGGAACAAACAAGGAACCAGCAAGATGGCGTGGCAGATAAGGACGCTTATCAGAAAGCCAGAAGACCTGACTTCAATCCCAAGGACCCACATGTGGAAGTGACTTCACATGTTGTCCTCTGTCCCCCACGAGTGCCACAGCACACGCACAGCCCACTCACAAATAAGGAACTTAGATGTAACTCTGTTTAAGGAGAGTGATACAATGGCTTGGCCATGAGACGCTCTTCATGAATCACTGTCCCCAGAATGTTCTAGAATGTCCTACTGATAGAGCTTGTGCATAAAGAAAAACAAAACAAAACAATAAAAACCTCACCCCTCAATTGCTAGAGGCTTTCCTTTCTGCTCTCCCGGCTTTGTCCCTGGGAGCACACTCACCATGGCTGCCAGAACGCTTGAGGTCTGCCCTCTTCGCTTTCACGGCTTCTGTCAAGTAGTCAGGAGTGCAGCTGGGGGGATGGGTCCACGCGTGCTCCGAGGGATGTGTGGAGCTCAGGGGCTGGGTCCCACTTCCTGGTTTGAGTGTGCATGGGTTTAATAGGACAGGCACACACCATCTTGGAAGCTCTGCTTCTCATCAAACTCCAGGGGTTTAAGGATGCCAGTGGACAGGGGTGGATGGCTAAATGCCTAACAAGCAGAGATCAGCTCAGAGAGCCCTGATCTGTCACGTGTGCCCACTGCCCTGCTGTGAACATTCCCACAGCTTCAAATTTCCAGTATGACAAAGAGCAGCTCGCAGGAACATTAACAGTCGTCTCCTGTGAGCTGATAGGAACTGGCTCCATCACACTCCTGCTGCAGGGCAGCACTGAGGTAACCTTGATCGAAAGGTGCTAGCGTGGCCTCAGTTGGGCCTGGGAAAGCCACCACTGACATGTTCACTGTCTTTGAGAAGATCAATGGCAAGTTCCCTGACATCAGCCACGTCTCACACTGATCTCAAATCATTTGCAAATTCTCAAACTCTGTCTCAAGCCAGAGCACCCTTCCACAGGAGAGCCACGTACCCTGTTTTGATCCTCCTCCTATCCACAGCTTCTGCGGGGTCAGAGACATTCTGCTACTCAGAGGCATACTTCCTGTTGTCTTCAGAGCACGCCAGGTCGTCACTTTTTTGGACTTGGAGGAGTAAGGTGACTCTAGGAAGGTAACATGAGGTTCAGAGCTGTGAAATCGCTGTGCCTTTGCTTTACAAAGGCACAACAATAGCTAAATGCAACATTCAAAGGGTGTGCTGACCCCAGGAGGACTGACTTTGAGATGGGATCTTACTGTATCACTAGGCCATGCCAGTCTAGAAACCCTGGGTTCAAGAGATCCCTTTTTTTTTTTTTTTAAGATTTATTTTTATTATTTTAAATTATGTGGAGGTGTGTGTCTACGTGTGGGAGAGTGCAGGTAGCCACGGCAGCAGAGGCATCAGGTCCCTGGAATTGGGAGTTACAGACAGTAGTAACTTTCTCTGAAAGGACAGAACGTGTGTTTAACCATGGAGCCATCTATCCAGACCCTCAAGAGATTTTCTTGTCTAAGGATTTTGAAACAATTTTGTTTGTTCTTGGGGATGGAACCCAGGGCCTTATACATGTCAGGGAATGTATCCATGTCGCCACATCCTAGCCCCTCACTGAGGGATTCAAAGCAGGTAGCCTGGCCTAGTGTATTTAGCCAAAACTGCAGACTCAAGTCACCATACCTGGTTTTACAGTACATGTACATATATAGTAACACAGACACACATATATATATACCTATACACAAAAATACATTTGTACACATAACACACATACATTCACATTTCTCTTGTAATTTTTACCAGAAGGAATGTGCAGGGGCTGGAGAGGTGGCTGGGAGGTAAGATGCTTGCAGTGGCAATCATGAGGACCAGAGTTCAGACTCTAGCACGCGCGAAACCAAGCAACAAGCAATAACTGCAGCTTCCCGGGGCCTCAACACTTGTTCATATACTCACGGAGACTCTTAAAGAAAAAGTGTTTTTTGTTTGTTTGTTTTTTGTTTTTTGAGACAGTCTCATTAGCTCTGTAGCAAGCCAGGCACAGTGGTACACACCTTTGATCCCAGTACTCAGGAGGCAGAGTCAGGTGGATTTCTCTGAGTTCGAGGCCAGCGTGGTCTATAAAGGACAGCCAGGGCTGCTGCACAGAGAAAACTTGTCTCAAAAAAACAAAAAGAAACAAAAACAAACCCCATTTAACTAACTGTGCAGCTCTGACTGTACTGGAACTCACTATGGAGACCAGGCTGTCCTTGTACTCAGAAAGATACACCTGCTTTTGACTTCGAGTGATGGGATAAAGGCATGCACTACCACATCCAGCCCCATGTAAAATAAATTACAAGAGAGAGAGAGAGAGAGAGAGAGAGAGAGAGAGCGCTAGGCATTGTGGTGGCATCTTAGGGAGTCCAGAGGCAGGAGGACTCTGTGGGTACAAGGCCAGCGTGGTCTACAGAGGTCCAGGCCAGCCAGGGCCACACACTGAGACGCCGTCTCCAGAAACCAGCAAGCAACAGCACCTGCTGCCAAGTCTGTGGATCTGTTTGCTTCCCAGAAGCCACCAGGTAGCTGGAGAGAACTGACTCTTGAACCGACTCTCTGACACCTGCATGCATTCCTGGTACACGGGTCATCCACACACATACACACAGGTAAGTCGGTGTAAAGCACTGTTGTTTTTAGAAGAGGAATTTGAAAATGTGAAAATTCCTACTGAAGATATAACCCTGCTATACTGTGACATGTACTATCTAGTTAAACTTCAGATAGCTGTATATTTTTTGCATAGTTTTGACCATAGCGGACATACTGTTTACTCCTTCAGCACTGAGTTTCTAATGTTGCCATAGGAATAGTATTATTTTATTATTATTGTTCTATTTTGTTTTTTCAAGGCCAACTTGGCCAGCCTGGAACTTACTCTGTGGACCAGGCTGGCCTTGAATCCACGAGATCCACCTGCCTCTGCCTCCCAATTGCAGGGATTAAAGAAGCATACCACCACACCCAGACAAAAACAATCTTTTAATATTTGCCAGACGGTGGTAGCGAAAGGGAAACCTTGTCCTGAAAAACCAAAATAAATATAGCAAAGGAATACATTTTTTTGTTTGTTTTTGGACCAGGGTTTCTCTGTGTGGCCCTGGTTGTCATGGACTCACTCTGTAGACCAGGCTGCCTTGAACTCAGAGATCCGTCTGCCTCAGCCTCCTGAGTGCTGGGATTAAAGGCTTGTACCATCACGGCTCAAAAATAAAAATATTTTAATATTATATTTTTAGTCTAGCTTTTAATGGCTGAGACATCTCTCCAGCTCAGTATTTTAATCTTTATAGAGAAGAAATGAGAAAAAAATTTCCCAGGGCATTTGTCATAATAAAGAAAGTGTTTTAAAATTTTTATTTTTACATAATTCATTATTTTACGTGCACTGTGTTCTACCTGTATGTATGTTTTTCTTTTTAAGATTTATGTATTTATTATGTATGCAGTGGTCTGCCTGCATGTGCACCTGTATGCCAGCAGAGGGCACCAGACCTCATTATAGATGGTTATGAGCCATCATATGGTTGCTGGGAGTCGAACTCAGGCCCTTTGGAAGAGCAGGCAGTGCTCTTAACCTCTGAGCCATCTCTCCAGCCCCCTGCATGTATGTTTATGTGAGGATAATGGATCCCCTCGAACTAGAGTTACAGTTTTGAGCTGCCCATGTGGGTGCTGGGAACTGAATGTGGGTCTTCTGGAAGAGCAACCACGGCTCTTAATGACTAAGCCATTTCTCCATTCCTTAGAACTATTATTTTTTTTGAGAATCTCACATCTTTAATTATGTAAGAAAAGACAAATTCATGCAAAAAGCAAAGGTGTTCATGTAAAAATTTTGTATGTTTAAAGGAGCTGGGTTTGGCGGCATGTGTCTGTTAGCCCAACTGCTCAGGAAACTGAGGCAGAAAGATCAGGAATCTAGCTTGAGCTATGAGACTCAAAAAAAAAAAAACAAAACAAAACAGAAAAATCACACACAACACACACACATAGAGGAACAGGTCAGGCCCCTATAGGTTTCAGGAAACAAGTACAGGCCTTGACATCTATCACAGAAACTCACGTACAGACTAGACTGACACATGAGCCACTGGGCCCTGGAGCACTGTGACACTGACAGCCAGCAGGAGGCCTTACTGGCACTGGAACCAACCCTATTTAAGCACTGTTGTCCTGATAAATAAAATGTTACCTCTTGAGCCACTGCTAGGGACAGCGACAAAGCTGTTCCTGTCTTTTTTTTTTTTTTTAATGATTTATTTATTTATTATGTAAACAATGCTCTGCCTGCATGGACACCTGCAGGCCAGAAGAGGGCACCAGACCATTATAGGTGGTTGTCAGCCTCCATGTGGTTGCACTGAGCCATGTCTCCAGCCCGTCTTTGTCCTTGTGAGGATGAGGAAGAGAAGGGCCTCCATAGCAGAACAAACCCAGAGATCCCATAGGGATGAAAGGCACATATCTGTCCCTTCCATGTGGGAACATACAACCCTCCCTAGGACGGGCTCATGGAGGCTCTGAGAGCAGTCCCAGGTCAGAAGCATCCTTTTACAGTGGGAGGCGGCTCAGTCTGTAAAGCACTTGCCTTCAGAGCACAGAGACCTGAGTTCATCCCTTGAGCCCACACAGAACCGGGCAGGCACAGCGAGACACACCTGCCATCCTAGTTCTGGGGGAGCGGAGGAGGCAGGTCCTGGGGACCCCCTGCGACAGCCAGTCTAACCTAACTGGTGAGCTCCAGACTTAACTAGAGAACGTGTGTTAGAAAACAAGGTGGACTGCACCTGAGGAATGCTAACATGGGCTTCCATGTGCACGTATGTATGCAGCCGGCATGTGGGTGTGTAAGCGCGCACATGGGCTTCCTTCCATTTCAGCTGTGCCCTGGCTTTGAGAAATCCAGAGGAAGGAAATGCAAATAGAAAGCTCAGTGGAACAGCGACCTGCACAGGGCTCAGGGACAGCTCAGCAGCCAGGGACACAGGTCTGGAGCCCGAGACCACTGAGTTTTCTCCCCCAGCCGCACCAAAAGAGCAACATCCTTTGGTTTTTCCAGGACACAGGGTAAAGCCATTCCTGCCACAGTCAAGTCTGAGATGAGGGGACAGCAGATCTGTTTAGTTATACTTACTTGGTGATGTGGGAGGAGGTTTCTGGAAAACCTTTCTTTTTGTTTTCTGAAAGAAAGAAGAAGCAACGTGATGCATGCTAGGCTCCCCTCTCTGATAGGGGACTTTTCCATCCCAGAGGGACAAAAGCTGTTTGAGTTCCAGGGAGGAGGGAGAGGTAAAGTACAGGCGTTCGTTTCTGGGCTAGCTACAGAGGTTCCTCTTGGGTTTCAGTTTCTGTTCCCTGACACAGAGAAAGGCCTTGCTGGGAAAGCTCACCGCGCTCAAGAAGGCAATGAGAGAGGCCCTGATGGACAGCCTGCCTGGGCAGACCTCCAGGGGGTCTGAGGTGCTCCATAGTGTGGGTCCTACACATGGGAGAGCCAGGGCTGGCTTGTCACTCTCCCTGGTGGCACATGCCTTTTTGTTGTTGTTTTGAGACAGGGTTTCTCTGTGTGGCCTTGGTTGACCTGGACTCATTTTATAGACCAGGCTGGCCTCAAACTCAAGAGATCTGTCTGCCTCTGCCTCCCTAAATGCTGGGATTACAGGCACTAGGCACCAGCCACCATCGCACACCTTTAATCCCAGCGCTTGGGAGGCAGAGGCAGGCAGATCTCTGAGTTCAAGACCAGCCCAGGACAGAAAACCTTTTCTTGGAAAAAAAAAAAAAAAAAAAAGGCAGGGGGAAGGCCTGTCTCCTGTACTGCCCTCATGCCTGCTCTGAATGCCAGAGAGCACCTATGTGCTCACAGCAGGTGTGGTAAGATGAATCCCTCATAAGTTAGTCCATGGCAGATTCCCCGCTAAGGAAGAGAAACCCAGCAAGGAAAAGGAAAAACAGTCTCCAGGGCCACCAGACACCCGGAGCAGTCCAATGAAGACAAGGTTCTGCAGCTTTTAGGGTTGGGCTCCTCTCCAAGCAGCATTCTTACGGCTTTGGGCTGGGCACAAGGGGCACAGTATGTGTCGAGTCCTTGCTCCCTGTCTGGTGGAAACACTGTCCTCTCTGGCCCAGAGAGACTAGACTCTATTGGGACTTGTTAGGAGACTCCTTCCACAGCCAGTGGCATCAGGAAATCACCTCTGTGGTGACTATCTCAGGCTCACGTTCCTATGATGTGGAGCAGAGCTCCTGGCTGTGGACACACGCTTATCACTTTCTCCCAGACTAAAATGCTCTACCCTGCAGGGAAGCTCCTTAACCACTAAGATAAACAACACAAATAGCTCCAGGAAGTTCCTGAAACTCATCAGATTGACTAGGCTCCTCCTTGCCTAAGGAAGCAATCAAAGCGGAGATTCTGGGACCAGACCATCTGCCTGGGAAAGGTCTAAACTACAGTCTCTTGGAAAGGTGACTTTAACTGTCGGGCTTCCCCAAGCTGTGCAGTGAGCTCCAGATTCCCAGCTTGTGCGCTGTCACCCACACTGGGGTAGGTGTTGGTATCCCAGCTGTCTTTGAGTCATTTTTCGCTCCTTAACCCATTTGCTGAGCTGCACTTTGGTGTATCTGTGCTTTGGTCTGTTGTGGGACCCAGTCTCCTCAGGAAAAGTTTCATCACACAGTAACACAGCACTCCCTTTCTGGGGACAATGGCGTGTGAGGCTTCGTATGCCGCATCCCTACAGCGCCTGTGTACAGTTGGAATCAAGTCTACACTTGGGGTAACTTCTTTGGCTTATTCACTAGGTGAGCGCTTACCATGCTTCCTTCGCTACTCAGCAACAAAGAACCCATGAGGCTAGCTAATCCCAGAGGGCACCGGGAGTGTAGTTCCAACGTAGAGGGCCTGCCTAGAATCCCCCAGTGAGGGGACAGGGCATGGCTCAACAGTGTCCTCTAGTCTGACTACTTCTGCCAGTTTTCTCGACTAGTACCCAGCACTCTGGGGATCCAGTGTGAGCTGCTGCAGCTGCGTGGGAACAGGACGCTGCATGTGTGTACTCTGCAAGGGCAGCAAGTGCTTTGACTCACTGAGCCATCTCTCTAGACCTTCACAGTTAATCGATAAAACTAGCTTTAAAAAATAAAGTCAGTTATTTACTATCTTGTTGCTGCTGCTGCTATTGCTTGAGATCGGGACTTAAGCAGCCCAGGCAAGCCCTGAACAGGCTCTGTAGCAGAGGATGACCTTATACTGATGTGCCTGCCTCTACCTCCCAAACGCTAGGATTACAGGCAGGTACCTGGTGCCAGGTTTACGCAGTGTTAGAGGTGGAGCCCAGGGCCTCACCCCTGCCAGGTGAGCACTCTACCAACTGAGCCACATTCTCAGCCCGTGAGATTGATTTCTAACAATAGATAAATGAAAGTTTAAACACAATAACCTCAATTACTTAAATTTAACAGACGGAAACGGCCACACCGGAAGCAGCTGGCACCTGTGCTCTGCGTCTGCTGGCACCTGGGGACGCTGTCTCACATGCACACCCAAGGAACACTGACGGGGGGACTGTGGTACTCACCGTCTCAACGTCAGAATCAAAACTGATCGCAGACAGACTATCATCTCCCTGGAAGAAATGCACACACGGTCACTGGAAGGTACCCACTCGGGTCATCAGCCGCATCTGCACACTGCCTGTCCGAGCTGTGGCAGCACAACTCAGCACAGCCCCTGGGACAGCCCAGGAAAGCTCCATCCCGCAGTATAACCCTGATCTTCAGAAAGCACGGGTGGGGACGAGGGGGCTGCCTCAGTCGGAACAATGCTTGCTGATCAAGCATGAGGATCTGAATTCGATGCTCTGCCGGGGGTGGGGGTTGACACAGGTAAACGTCTGCGGCTCACTGGCCAGCCAGCCTAGTGTGAGACCCTCCCTCAAAAAAAGGGGTGTGTTCGGATGACGCCTGAGGAGTGTCATGTGACATTCTTCTGGCCTCTGTTCACACACACACACACACACACACACACACACACACACACGAAGAGGAGGGGTGTGGGGGATGGTGAACGGAAGGTTCTGCTTGGCCAAGTGACTCCACACCCACAGAAGTATGGTGGGTCCTCAGGTCTACTGTGTGTGACTGACAAAGCTCCCAATGCGAGAAGCACTCCATTCTCCACTGTTTCTGCATTCTGACTTTCTCATCTTCCATTCAAAGGATGGTGATGCTCTCTTGCCCATCTCCTGGCGGAGCAGAGCAGTTTTGCAAGCAAATGTTTTAACTTCATTTTTCCTGTTTGTGTTTGTGTGTGCCTGAAGGTACCTTGGATGCCAGAAGAGGGTGCCTGGAGGCGACAGGCAACTGTGAACACCCTGACATGGGCGCTGGGAACTGAACTGTAACACTGAGGAGAGGAAAAACTGCTCCTAACCAAGCTGTCTCTCCACTGCCCCCATTTCTTTACATGTGTCTACGTATCTGGTGTGCTCATTCGTGTATGTGTGTTCACATGTTTGTGTATGCACACTTGTGGAGGTCTGACTTCAGTTTCCGAGACTTGGAAGTACGGGCAGCAGCCATACCCATGTGGCTTTGATGTGGGCTGTGGAGGTGTGGACTCCCAACTGAAGTGCAAGGCAAGCATTACCCACCAAGCCTTCTCCCCAGTCCTTGGTTACATTTTGGAAAACACACACCTCCTGGTGGAGCAAGCCTGTAATCCTAGGATTTGGCAGGCTGAGGCAGAGGGAGGCGGAATCTGAGGCCAGCCTGACCTGCATACAAAGTCTGACCATTTTTTAAAACTCCAGAAAATGTTAGCAACAAAGTTAATGGTAAAAGTTACAGAATAGTGGAAATAGTGATGTTTTCAAAACGTGACACATATGAGAAACACAAGCATTAACTGGGTTTCTCTAGCTCGCCAGTGTATGGATAATTAGCCAAGTGTACTGAAATGCAATGAGTTTTCTTTGCAATAACAACAGAAGAAAGTTTTAACTTCTTGACGGCGTGGGTGGCTCCTGTGTGTGATCCCAGCACTCGGGGAGGCAGAGGCAGGATCTCTGTGACTTTGAGGCTAGCCTGGTCTACAAAGTGCTTCCGGGACAGTTAGGGCTCTGAGGAGAAACCCTGTCTCTAAAAACCAAAAAAAAAAAAAAAGGAGAATGTGGAGGAGGAGGAGGAGATGATTTTAACTTCTTAAAGGCCTGGAGACAGAGTTCAGGGGAATAGCCCAGTGAGGGCTGGGGGCATGGCTCAGTGGCTGAGTGCTTGCACTTGGACGGGGCTGGGATCTGACTCTGCAGTAAAGTGACTGTCTGGAATCCCTCAGTGACCAGAGTCGGGGAGGCTCATCTGTATCGCTCTGGCCTGGCAAGAGGGTATCAGTCCCAAGTAGCACACACAAAGAGAGATGATGGGACAGTTCCTGAAGACGTGTTGTGACCGACCTCTTAAAACCAGGCAGGACTTGGAAAGCCTCCTCTGGATGGACAAGTAGGAAACCCCCGTTGCTCTCCACTGACCAGAAATCAGGGTACCCCAGTTTCCGTGGAAACTCCCACAGAAGTCCCTTGGACCCTTGATAAGTCATTTCCACCAGAGCCTGGTCCCTGGCTACCTCCCATCAATCCTTCTCAGGCTGATCCCAGAGGGCTTGCTTTCTGCCACTTTCCTGCCCCGAGGCCTTTGCATTTGATGTTCCCGCCAGCCCTAAACCTGCAACAAACTGCTTCCTACTTGTCTTTGAGACTGGGGACATCAGCCTGTTGCCCTGTCCTAGAGCCCCCACTGGAATGCACAAAGTTCCCTTGGTACCGGAACGCACCGGGGGCCAGGGGTAGTCCACCCGGCGCCCAGAGAACGAGAGCCTCTTCCAGAGAGGCCGCTCGGACCCTCGGGCTAACTACGAGGGTGGGATGGGGTAGGCCTTCTTCATTGCTCGGGATCGCTCCGGGGCGTCACCGGAGGGCAACCGGTTCCAGCACTTACAAGAAGAGCTCGTCACCAGCCGGCCGCGGCCTCAGACCCGCAGCACGTGCGGGTGGCCACAGTCCCGGGGGCTTCCTGGAAGCAATGACCTCCGCGAGCGCAGGCGGGAGCCACAGGTTGCTGGCGCGGGCACGGTGGCGGCGACGCCCCGGGCTGGCTCTTGTGCGGTAACAATCGGCCTGCCGGGGCTGGCTGCCGCCGTGCGTCCGTCCTCCTTCTGACCCAAGCCTCCTTACCGTCTCCGAGGCCAGATCTGCTGTGCCCTCGCTCATTGTCGCGGCGCTGCGCGGCCTCCCGGTCGCTGCGAGTTTGGCCCTCAGCGTGGGAGGCCTGCCAGCCACCCTGCTACCATGGCAACCGTGCCGCGGCCACAGGGCCCCGGATGTGGTCCTTCCTCCGGAGCCCAGCGAACCGTGTGCGCGCGCAGCGTGAGCGCGGGCGGGGGATGGGGGGGCAACCAGGTACCGTCCCCGGGTTGCACTGCACGGCCTCACCTTGTCTCTTGTGGGTTTCGGTTGTTTTGTTTTTTGGTTTCTCCTGCATGCAAGGCTGGCTGTACCTCGGAGCCACGCTCTAACTTCAGGAGCCCGAGTTGGGTTTCAGCAAACGGTGGCTGCCTCTACGTAGACTAGTGGGCAGAGGTTCTTGGGTCGCCAGGCTGAGCGGACACAGGGGACAGAGCGCAAGGCACCGTCCTTAACGATTGGCACCTATTTAAATGCTTTTTTTTTTTTTTTTCCTCTAAATAAGCCGAGCTGTTGGGGGCCAAGGCTGCTCCCTAATTGTTAGACTTGGGGTCTGGCGCCTTGAGGAAAACAGTGCACACCCGGACTGTCGGTGGGCGAGCACCAACTACTGAGAACCCCAGCTGACTGGTTTGCTATCTAAGCCTCCCAGAACTCTCCAGGACTCTGGCGGCTTTTGCCACCCAGGCCAGATGAGGAACACTTCCCCTGTGGCACAGCAGGCCTGGGGTAGGTGTAAACACAGCGTCTCATTTGCGTCAACATCTTCCTGTCTCTGCTCCCTCAATGCTGGGATTACAACTGTATAGCACCTACCACTGGGCCCAGCTTTTCTTTTTTCTTTTCCTCGGCGCCACAGCCGGGCTCCGCCTTCAGTTCGTGAGTGAACAGCACTCCTCAGCTGGGTGCGGCTGTGCACGCCTGTAATCCCAGCACTTGGGAGGCAGAGGCAGGCGGGTCTACAGAGCTAGTCCAGGAGAGCCAGGGCTACACAGAGAAACCCTGTCTCGAAAAAAACCAAACCAAACAAAAAAAAACAAAGCAACAAAAACAGCTTTCCGCAGTTGGGTGACATTGAAACACGAAGCCCGGTACGAGGCTTCACGAGTAGTCTTACTCTAACGTACTTGAAACTTTTTTCTTTAGAGACAGGGTGGCTACCACTCAAACAGACGTACGTCCTGTCCCGAGCTTAAAGGCAGAAGCCTCCACGCCGGGCCCTACAGATACTGTTTGTGTTGAGTGTGTGCCACCTGCGTGTGCGTGCTTGACCTCGGCGCTGGGCACCGAACTCTGGTCTTTCGGGAGAGTGAAAGGCACTCCTAACCATCGAAACATCTCTATAACCACCTCCCCACAACCCCGCTGGCCAACTTCTAATGTTTATCGTTAGCAGAGCGGGGAGAGCCGGCTCCGAGCGGCCCGCTGCTCCCCACACCTCGCACTGAAGCTGCCAGCCAGAAGAGGCCAGGGACGCCGCCAAAAGCCTCGCCGACACGCGGCCCGAGGCCAGCGCAGCCTTTCAGGGAGTGGCCATGCCCACGGCGAGCCCGCCTCGGAGGCGCCCGCCCAGCGCTCGCGTGGGCACGTCCCCTGAGCGACCTGGGGGGGTGGCAGTTCGCAGAGGCTGGGACAGCGTGGCGATCTCGAGCGTCACCCAGCAGGCGCGCGTTGACGGGGCCTGGAGCCTTGGAGGTGATCGGAGCGGCGCTCGGGGCCACCACCCTCCAAGCGCGGCGACCCCGCTCCTTCCCCCCCGCGTCCGTCACATGGTACTGACTTAGGGCGGGGCCCCGTGGAGTCCCAGAGCCGGGCGGAGTCAGCGGCGCCTGTAACCACGTGGAGAGGAACTTGCGTCGGGGGCGGGGCCGAGAGGGCGGGACCGAGAGGGCGGAGCCTCGGCTGGGCTGCGATCAGCCAACTCCCGCGGGGGGCGGGGCCTGTGGTGGTATGGGGCGGGGCTTGCGGCCCCGCGGCGCAAACTCAGAAGTGGGGCCGGACCTGGAGGGGGCGGGGCTTTGGCCGGCTTGAAGAGGAATTTGCAGAGGCGCGGGCGGGGCCTGCCTCAGACACCGGAACCTCAGCGGACCAGGCAAACAGTGGGGCTTGAGATCCCGGTAAGGGGGAGTTCCAGCCCCGGCCGGGCACTGAGGGCCTGGTGGTGCATTCTGCACTCTCGGGCCTACTTCCCGGAGCGGAGGGACGCGGGGGCAGGGTTAGAACCCCAGGCTAACTTGCAGTCGTGGAGAGCGCACCTCTTACCCGGTTTGGGAGGTACGGACGCCGGATGTCGGGAGTCAGATGGAGCCTTGCAGGGCCTTCAGACACTGACATCTTTGCCCTCCAAGATGCGTATTTCTGTCCCGAGGGGACACTTACTGGTGCAGGCCGCAGGCTTGTCACTTGCAGTCTCTACCGACCTGGGCTGTGACACCCACTTTCCTTTGCACTCCTGGGTGGGCTGGAGGACTTGTCTCGTGCAGGTGACCGCTGGAATACACTTTGGGCAGGTACCTGGCTGATCCTCTGACTCTGCTCTCCCCGCAGCGAGGTCAGTAGGCAACTGCACCCTCCACCCCAACGCCACCAAACCCCCAAGTTGATAGACTTTGACACCAAAGGCCTGTGGCCCTGGTTAACCTGGCCTCACTCACAGTGCTGCTGCCAGGACTCCATCCTCTTGATAGCTCGGGTTCCCCGGGACTGAGCTTAGCAACTCTGTGGGCTTCTGGGCCCCTCCTCCATCATAGCAGGCATTGAGGGCTGCCGGTAACCAAGTTGGCTGCTGTCTGAAGTCAAGAGGCTGTCTTGCTTCCTCTGTAGGAACTGCTGGCCTGATCATGGACCCAGAATGCTCCCGGCTCCTCCCGGCACTCTGTGCTGTTCTGGCAGATCCCAGACAGCTGGTGGCAGATGACACCTGCTTGGAGAAACTGCTGGACTGGTTTAAAACAGTGACAGAGGCAGGTGAGGACACGGCTTATAGAATTGTCCATCCATCTGGTATGCGTCACCACTTTGAGGCTCTGTGGCTGATCAGGGAAGAGTCAAGATGGAGTCACAGTGGAGACACAGATTGAAAGTCCCATCGCATCCATCCTCATCCAGGCTTCCTCTGTTCTTGCACAGCACACGCCAACATTGTTTGGCCATCTTCCTTGTATTTTGCCTGTCTGGGTGGGTGGTGGGCCATGTCATCTAGAAACCAAGGCAAGAGGATCTTGACTTCGAGGGTAGCCAGCACTACATACTGAGTTCAAGGCCAGCCTGAGTCACATCCTTATTGTGTGGGTGGGTGGACCTTAGTGTAATCACTTCCTTTTTTTTTTTTTTTTTTTTTTTTTTTTTTTTCTATTTCCAGGTTTGGTTGGGAGTTAAGGGTGAGTGGGCAGGGTGACTTGCTCTGTAAACAAGGCTGGTCTCAAACTCACAGAGATCCATGCCTGCCTCTGCCTCCCCGAATTCTGGGATTGCAGCCATGCGCCAATGTGCCTTGCTAAATATTGTAAGACTGTGCTTTTGTTTTAATCCCAGATGTGGGGATGTGGGGCTGCTTCAGACTGTCCGAAGCAGCTAGTGCAGCAGCTAGTGATGATTTGCCTCATGTTCTAGCAAAAGTGTGGTTTTGCCAGCTGCAGATAATTTCTGTGATTGTGTGACATTTGGAATTCTGGGAACTTTTCACAGGGTAACAGCGCTCTGAGAGGCAGGGTATGGGGGGCTTTTGGTCATTTAGGGAGGTTGTTTGCTGTGGTCAAAGAAGAAACAAACAGAAATTAGATTCAGGGATCTCTTTCTCCTGTATCTGTTTCTCTCCTGTCTAGTGTTAGGGGCTGAACTGGGGTGTTGGGGAGATAAAGGGTGGGAAAAAGAAGACCCTCAAAGTGGCAAAGACCAGCTACAGAGGCCTACCATCTTTCTTCCTTGTTTTACTTTGTCCTTTTAGCCCAGGATGACTTGAACCTGTGGTCCTCCTTCCTATACTGCTGAGCCCTGGTTTTCTTGGATGCCAAGGATGGAGCCAGGGCTTTCTACGGCAGGAGCATTCCACCCTCTGAGCTAGGTCCCCATTTGTCTTGCCTAAGTTACAGAATTTAAAATGATAATAGTCCTATAAAACTAACATGTTAGTTGAATCCTACAAGTTTTACTGCATGGTACTTCTGGAATTTAGGCTTTTTTGTTTTGTTTTGTTTTGTTTTGTTTTGTTTTGTTTTGAGTCAGAGTTCCTCTGTATAGCCCTGGGTCTCTCTGTAGACCACACTGGCCTTGAACTCTGGAACTCAGAGATCTGCCTGCCTCTTCCTCTGAGTACTGTGATTAAAGCGAGGCACAAGTATGCCTGGCCTAGGTTTTTTTTGGTTTGGTTTGGTTTGGTTTGGCATGGTATATGTAGGGTATATGTGTGTGTTTGCATGTGTGTGTATGTACACATTTTCTCATGAGTGTGGAGGTCAGAGGTTGACACTGGGTGTCTTTTTTACTTTCCACCTTACGCTTTGAGGCAGGGTCACTGTTTCTCTCTCACTTGAACCCAGAGCTTGCCAAGTTGGCTATTCTAGCAGGACAGCTGAGGGTTCTCCGTCTGGGCCTCTGAAGTGCTGCCTGCCTAGCATGTATATGGTTCTGGGGATCTGAATTCTGGCTGTGCATAGAAAGAGCTTTATCCACAGAGCCATTCCCCAGTCCTTGAGGTTCAGTTTTCAGTGTTTACAAGTTAGTTTTACAGAATTGTGTGTGTGTGTTTTGCATGCACACCCAGGCATCTAAGTGTAAAGGTCAGAGCAGAAGGTTAGGCATCTTCCTCCATCAGTCCCTAAGCTATTGCCTTGAGGCAAGGTCTGTTACTGAACCTGACAGTACAGGAGAATGGGCTGGCCTGGAAGCTCTTGGGATCAGCCAGTCTGCTCCCCTCCCCCTACTGGAGGGTTAGAGGCCTGGACAGCCAAGCTGGCTTTTATGTGAGTGCTGGGAATTTAAACTCAGGTCCTCATGCTTGCAGAGCAGACACTCTTACTTGTGGACCCATCTCCCCAGCCCGATTCACCAGTTGGTCTATTATTGTTCCTTTGGAGGCACCGTTTAACTATGAAGTCCTGGCTAGCCTGAACTCACTATGTAGACCAGGCTGGCTTTGAACAATCAGAGGTCTGCCTGCCTCTGCCTCCCAAGTGCCATGTTTAAAGGAGTGTGCCACCACATTTGACCTACGAATATTTTACATGTCCCAGACTCCACCTGTTTTAAAGTTTACCAGTTCAGCTGGGCATGGCGAAGCATATCTGTAATCCCAGCATCTGGGAGGCCAAGGCAGGAGGGTTGCTCTAAGTTTGAGGCCAGCCTGGGTTATGTGGTGAGTTCAGGGCCAGCCTGGGTTATGGAAGGACACCCTATCTTGAAAATGTCTATAAAATAAAATAAATGGAAAATGGAGTATACCATTTCAGTGGGCTTTAGTTAATTTAGGGGGTATCTGGTCTCATTCTGTACCTTTTGTTCCCCACAAAGCTAGGTGTCCTAGGTAGTTCTTCTTCCCATTGCTCTCCCAGTTTTTAGCAGTTTTTAAAATGCCCCTCATGGTGGAGCTGTGCTTGTTGGTGCAAGCCTGTTGGCCCAGCTAGTGGGGCTGAGGCAGGAGGATTGTAAGTGTATGGTCTGGGCTACACAAGTGAGTTCAAGGCAACTTAGTAAGATCCCGTTGAAAGCAAGAGAAATGGCTCTGGCAGCCAGATGTGGCAGAACACTTGGGACACACAGGGGGAGGATCAGTGGTCAGCCTCAGCTACATGGCAAATTCAAGGCTAACCTGGACTAGGAGACCTTGTTTCAAAAGCAAAGAAAAAACAAAAACCCCAAAACAGTAACAACAAAAAAGAAAGGCTGGGGTGTGGTCCAGCAGTGTGCTTGCCAACCATGCATGAAGCCTTGGGGTCAGTGCCTAGCTCTGACCCTCCCTCTCCCACCAAAGGAAAAAAGCCAGGGCTGAGCAGTGGTGCTGCAGCCTTTAGCCCCAGCACTCAGGAGATAGAGGCAGGCAGATCTCTGTGAGTTCAAAGTCAGCCTGGTCTACAGAGTGAGTTCTAGGACAGCCAAGGCTACATGGAGAAACTCTGTCTTGGTGGGGTGGTGAGGTAAAAGCCAGACATGATGCTACAAGCCTATAATCCCAGCATTTAGAATTGGAGGCAAGAGATTCATGAGTTCGAGGCCATCCTCAGCTACATAACAAATTCAAGGATAATTCGGATTACA